AAACAACAGAGAGAGACTATAGGCAGAAAACTCTTAAAGAGTGCCAACTGAAAATGAAACATTGTACTAGACACTGTCACATTTCCCAGCACAATAGAAGTGAAAGATGCCAAAAAAAAAAAAATCAACTAGAAAGGTGCAGGTGAGGATTAACTTATGGGGAAATACTTAAAGGTCCTGATGGTCGCAATGAGGAAATATCATTAAGTCTCTGTTCTCTAAAATAAAAGGAAGTTGTAAACACAATGACAAAGAAAGGTGACCAAAGTGACTGTGGCATCTGAGTGTGTGTTAGACTCTGTTCAGAGGCGGACAAGCCTTCTACAATATTATCCAAAGCAAAATAAAGGAAACAACTGCTGACAAATAAGGGAAGCACAGATTGCATTTCAAGAAGGAAGATCAATTCTTCAACCGCAATTTCTTAAGCTACTGTCTGTGGGTTAATTTTGATCCTGGTAACAGTAAACCGCAGAATAATTTTGATTTCCGTATCTCAGCCAGAAGAACACACACACTTTCCCCACTCAAGCAAGCAACCCAAATGAATCAGGGGGAAATAAACACAAAAGCCATTTAGCCAACTTTTCACTGAATTAAGTGAAAAGCTCTGTAACAACCCTACTAGTGACTGTCTTTAGGTTTTCTTTTCATTTGAAAGGCTGGGTATTCTTTGTATTAACAAAAGACTGACAAACCCTGAAAAAGAGTGTTAAATGGAAAAAAAGAAAACAAAAGATGTTTCTTATCCAGTTTATAGGTGTAAAAACAGCATTTAGGCAACCACCATCCCAATACGTTTTTGAATATCTTAGGTGTTACGGTATGCCATTGTAACAAGGAACCTCATCAAGGGTTTATGTAAACTTTTATGTAAGGAAGTAGAAGTTGCGTCCAATTTAAATTACGGCAAGAGCAGAAATCACTATAAGTTACTTACCACTTGTGGTTTGAATTGTTGCTGACTTCACTGAGAGGAAAAGCATAGGTGGGTACAGAATGAGCATTGCTGGAAAATCTTGATTGTGTTGGCAACACAGCATAGTAAACTGACACAAGACGGTTTTCAGCACCGCAAAAAAAGATGGGAGAACCAATACCAGAGCTTTTAAGCTCATTCTCTCAGAAAGGAAAAAGGTTCAGGAAGAGTTTCAGTTTTCATACCTTCCAGGAACCATGTTACCAGTTGACAATGAAGCAACTGCATTCACCATCTTCAACAAGACTTGGATACTGAAATATGCAACCTAAAGGCCTTCCAACTTAATTGCTGTTCCACCTTTGCTTAGGAGAAAATACAGAAAAAAAATCAAAAAGTATGTCTCCACAAAACAAAAGAGCCTAAAAGGTAAATCTTCCTTGTGGAAACCAGGCCAAGTCCCTGCAGATTGCAGTACGGTGCCTTAGCTCAGAAATAGTTTCAACCAAACATGAGTCTACTGTTTCCAGATCCAGGCTGGCTCTATTCAGTCAGCTCAATTAATTCAACGCCTCAGTATTTCCAGTCCAAAAGTTAATGATACCGCCAGTATGAGTTGAGGTCTATCTGCATCCACTGCTGTGGTCATCTCCTTTAGTCAGGCAGACCAAAGCCCACACCTGCTGTAGGTGACCCTGCTCTGGCAGGGGGGGTGGACTAGATGATCTCCAGAGGTCCTTTCCAACCCTGACCATTCTGTGATTCTGTGATTGGTCCCTGTGCCGTGTGTTTCCTGTTGGCTCACTCTAGGCCTTCAAAGACAGTAGGCAACATCAATTACAAGGACTTAGTCTAAATCTAGGCCTAAATGCCTTTGAAATTCCTTAGAAAATGCCAGGTATTGAGTGGTATTAAATTACAACACATTTCAAAAGAACTAGCTAGAAGAGAAGATGGACATTTCTGAGACATGTTAAGAAGGAAGCCTGAGGCACAATTCAGTTGTCCAAATATTGGCATCCAGTCATCATATAGGCCCTAGGGAATCCCTCCGGGGATCTGGCCATTGCTCCTGAGAGGCCTGGGTGCGCTGGACCCATGCCATCCGTGGGTGGACAGCTCGCATGCCCCAGGTTATTACAGGTGGGATTAGACACCTACATTTGGCAACCAAACTGAGCCCTGTGTGTGGGCCAAAATGGCAGGGCTGCTGAAGGAACCTGAAGAAGTATCTGACTGAAAGATTCCTCTCCTCGACAGGGCTCAAGGGGGAAATATTTCACATCCCAGGTCTTCAAGGAGCACTCCATCCTGGACAGACAGGCTGGTGAAACCTTTTCATTCCCTCAAGCAGCATGTGGTCGCTGAGAAACAGACTGGTTCAAAAAGGAGGATGTTTCTCATTTCCAAAATGTTGCAAATGTTCATCTGTTAATTTTCTGAAAGAGTTTCAGGATCCTTAAGCTGGAGGAGAGACAGAAATGCAAACAGGTACATTTCCTGTGAAGCACAAAATTAAGCATTCACTTTCAGGTCCACATCTTTTTTTTAATAGACTGGATTTTTGCAGGCACTTTGCTTTTTGTTTCAGTTATGCAGCTGTCTTCTGAAACAGTATGCAATTTTGGTGGTTGAAAACTCCTTCAGCTACATTTTTAGAGGTTTGTCTCCTGGAATAACGGTGTGATTTTTTTTTTGTTTATCTTGCAATACTTGTTCTTTTCTGCAGACAGCACTCATCTCTTTCCTTGGCAAGGTGAACCAGAACTAGTAGTTTTCATTCCCTATAGTTGCCAGCCTCACATTCCAAATTGCTGTGTACATATGCATGAGAGAGCAGAAAATCCCCAATAAAACCAGCTTTCAAAATGGAATATTTTTTCTACATAATGCTTAAAATAACTTACCGAAATTTCTGAGTCAAGCTGTGCTCACAACTTCATGAGACCAGGAAGCAGAATGGTTATGAGTTCTGTTCTGAGTAAATTCCTCAAAAATATCTGCTACAAGTTTGGCAATCATACATTGGCAATGACAGACCAAAAGAAAATGGATGTATTCATTCATGACCCGTCAGTCTGAAACTGCCATGAAAAGGCATGGTGGCTTTGCATATTCAAGAAATATTAGTTAAAACTGGAATAGGTGTCAGGAATATCTGCTAGAGCAGAGAGGAAATAATTACAGTAAAAATAAAGTTGATTCTATGTCTGACATAAGTATTTATCAAGGAATACATACCTGTAAATAGATGGTATCTCAGCCAGAAAGATAAAGCATAAAACCATAAAAAAGTAAAGTTGCCATGAATTTATTCAGGCTGGAAAGTGAAAGAAAATCTGTGAAGTTGGGGAATAAGGTTCTGCTGCAGCTTTTCTTTTGAAGGAACTGGGACAGCAAAAAATCTAAGTGATTAGCATTTTTTCTAAAAATTGAGAGTTATGTGAGCAACCTCTGTGTACCTACAGATTAGCATTTTTTCTAAAAATTGAGAGCAACCTCTGTGTACCTACTTGGTTCCTACCTCAGCAAAAATCCCTTTGGCATCTGTTGGCCAGTTTTAATTAAAGCTGATATAAAAAAAATGGGTTTTAAAGGTAATTATATTCCTACGGTTTTCATGAAAATAGGAGCTAGGTAGAGTAGAGAGAACCTATATGAGAACCAACTGAGGGAAAGGCTTTAGCGTGAACTCATACTTTCTCAGTCACCAGCATGTCCCTGGGCTCACTAGGACATTTAAATACCTTCTGAATGCTCACCCACGGGAAAAGCATCGAGCACTTTCCCAAACACAGAAACCTCAAGCTATGTAGGAAACCAGGTTTCAGTAGTTCCTGTGGTCACAGCACTACATTTCTGACACTGGAGCCTGATGCACAGTGAAAGGGAGTGAACAGCGTCTCTGTCTGCAGAAGGACTGGTTTTGACAACTTGACTGAGAGGATGCATTTTCTGACCCCGTCACTCATGCTGTGTGAAATTGGACACATCATTTCATCCTTGCATGACTTCTAGCATTACAACATTTGTGCAGGTTTACCCCTCACAAAGCAAACAAACTGACACCTTCAGCTGGACCATATTTTACAGTATTTGAATTAGATCTGTTAGCAACAGTGGCTTTTTTTTTGTTGTTGTTGTTGTATTGATGATGAACAGTTACAAATTTTTGCCAGTCTGGATGTATTGATTATTTCAAACACACTGAAATTGTTAAAAAGTTTGTACTGTACTGAGAAGTCACAGGTAGAAGAGAAACTACCTCTCGGGTGGTTTTTTGTTTCACAATTATGAAATATTTCTGTGGCAACTTCAACAATAGTTTTCATGGAACAGGAAAAACAAAGAGTTTATTTTTAGGTGCTCATTTGGTATATTCTATCCCTTAGGGCTGTGCCTATTTCCTCTCTTAATAAGCCTCATCCATCTCACCAAAATGATGGACATCTTAACTTCATTGCTGGCTGAATCCAGCAGATGACCAGCCATTTCCCAAGGTTCTAAATTCACAAGCGCTCTTCGTATTTTGCCATGAGGAGGTCAGACACGTACAGAGGTAGATGGGTGCAAGGAAGGGGTCCCTCCTGTTTCCAACCCATTCTCAGTAGAGGCCCAAGAAGCTGAGCTAACTTGTTTTTCCATGGCTTGGTGACAGATGTTCCGGTAGGCATCATCTGATACCCAGCGATCAGCCATCATCAGAGGGGCAGGAGAAACCTACTTGTAACATTACAAATTTCCTTCTGTTGTTGACCCTGAAAACCCCTTGAAAGCAGAAGGCGGCTGGTGTGCTGAATGCATTCTTGTGCTCGGACACCTCATGACAGTCTTCCCGTTGTTCTCATTTCTGTGTCAGACTCACGGGCTGTTTCTCCACATACACTTCAGCTGTGAAATCTCATAAGCAGAACCTTTGCTCCGTGTGCTCCTTCTCCCAGTGGACTCCTAACTCCCGACTTGGACTTGTGAGTACACCCACCCCAGCACGCATGTTGGGTAATAGCTGTAGCAACAGCAGCAGGAAAAATAAAGGGAATTTTACTTAGCGCTTTGCCTGTGTCAGACTGTAGGTACTTACGTGATCTCTGTTACACAAATCGTGAGCAACTTTGTAGATTATCAGCGGCATTTAGGCAACTACATCCCTCATTCTGATGGGAGTTAGGCACTTCAATGCCTTTAAGGATTTGTGCCTCTGGGGCTTATTCCAGATAACAGAAGTGTATGGCAGAGTCTGTGGGAGATAAACTTGAATTGCCCACATCTAAGGGCTGGGGGAAGGGTGGGCAGTACCCCAGGCAGAAAGAGCAAAGCTTTTCCTGCCTGCAGCATGCCTGGCCTCCGTAGAAAGCCTGGAAAGAGCCTGGAGAGCTGGCATGCTGACAGCGTTACAAACTTAGATGGGAGCTAAGGGCCACGGGCCAGAGTTGGGCACACTGTCAGAAACTGCAGAGCCAAACCTGTGTCTCTGTGGAGGGAGGCAAAGGTGTGTGGGACACAGCCGTAGGGTTGGAAGGCCGCCGGTGACACTCACCATCATTCACAAACAGCTGTATTCAGCAGTGAGTACCTTGCAAACTACTGGAAACCCAGATGTTCTGTTTTACTTTTGGATTTTTGTTCTGTTTTGTTTTCACAGCAAAAGAGACACAAAAATTGGGCAAGATTTAGCATTTAAAAAAAAAAAAAAACACCCAAAACTGCTCTGGGACATGGGAAATCCAGTTGTATTTTTATACAGAAAAGATTCATAATCATTCTTGAAGTGTCCCTATATCCTCTTTCCCTACCATGCCTTTAAATCAGCCTATCTACATGTGTGAAGAGGAACATTAGGTTTTCTTTTTGATGGCAAGCAGGCACATTTAAAGAAAATATTTTGCATTTTCTCATGATGAGCCACTGTCAGTCATTAGTCGGCCAAAGTGATTCCATCCTGCAGACTGACAGTTGCCAGAAAACAGTCAAAGCAAGAGCCTGACCCTGCTGCTCTTGCTGGACAGACTTCCCTTGGAAATGGGTTTTGTATCCCATTAAGAAAGGCAGGAACTCGCCTTTAATAAGAACTAATAAGAAAGTTTATAAGAACTATTTCAAGAATAAGAATTGTTCTTTTAAAAGCTCTTTTAAGGAAAGATTAACTCTTTAAGAATCGTTTAACAAAAGGATAGCATCAGCAACAAAGGGACAGCAGCAGCAAAATGCGATGAACCCAAACATCCAAGGATCCAAATACCCTCTTTTGGACTGACATGATCCTTCTAGAGTAGAAATAAACTGTTTTCGCCTTTATGAGTTATTTAAGGGAAAGAAAGCCATGATATTTTTAAAGCCTCTGACAGGAAAGCACGTCTCCCAAACTGCCTTTGGGAACACCGCGGCTCTCCTTCGGATGGTACTTATCTTTTCCTGCTAAGAAGCTGCTGGGGCTCACAGCTGTCCCGGGCACGCTGTGCCCTGCGCCCTGGCCGGTGCGGAGAGGGACCTCCCCGGGCAGCCACCCGCCCGGTGGGGGGACCCCGGGCCCCTTGGTGCCGTGTGGGCTGGCAGCCCCCCCCAGTTTCTGCCGAACCCCCGGCCGGACAGGCGCCGGTAACGGGAGGCGACGGCCACCGCCCGGCGCCCACCTGGGAGGACAGGGACCGTGTCCCCGAGGCCCGGGCGGGCGGCAGAGCGGGGGGGCTGGGGCAGTCCCAGCACCGACGGGGGAGACATTTATCTCCTTCCCGTTGACCGAGGCTTTGTCAGTCATCTTCATTAAACCGGGGGGTGAGGGATGGGGAT